CGATATTTCATCAATAAAATTCCATCGATGATGCCAATATTTCTAGTAGTAAAAGACGAAACTCTAATGACACATAAGCAAAACTAAAAAAAAAAAAAAGAGACAACTTAATGAAAACCTTGAAAGACCATGGAGATGTGTATAGATTTGACACCATTATTTCTTTTTTCATGCCACACATTAATAAACATTGATGATCAATTTGTCTAAAATGTAAGACACACTAAAAGCAGCTAGAAATTCTCTTTAAAATAATAAAAGCTTTCAAACATAAAAAAGCCATACTCAAAATTCAATGGCCTATACTCATAAGGCTTAAAATGAAATAACCTAATGACAAAGAAAACCCAAAAAAGTAGTCCATATAAAAGATAGTTGTCAAAGCCATCAATACCTTTTGTGATATTTTTAATTTAGAAGTGAATAGATTTGAGTAATTAACATATAAATAAAAATTATATTCAGTAATGATAAAAGTTTAAGAAATTGTCAAAAATAGACAAATAAAGATGAAAAATTAATCTATTATTATAAATTAAAATTATTTTAACATTTAATCAATATAAAATTTTTTGAAATGAATAGCTAAAATAAGCATAAAAAATAAATTAAAATTTTAAATTAATACATCAAATAAAAAATAAAAAATATAGCATAGAAATTTATACTTAAAATACAAAATATAAACTCAACTAGAAGTGTTCATAAGCTGAGCCGATTTTGGTTTGGGCCGGGATCATGCTTGCTATTAATAGCTTATATACTTGTCCAGGTCCGATCTGGTGTTAAATTTCAAGCTTCAAAATTTTTTCGCACTTGACCCAAATTAAAAAAAAAAAAATCTTAAGCCTACCAATTAAACTTAATTTATATAATAAAAAATTAAAAAAAAGTTATTAAATTAAGTTTAATGAGACTATATTCAATTCACATATATATAAAATAAAAATAAAAATTAAGTTTAATAAAATATATATAAATTTTATTTTTAATTTATATATATGTGAATTTGGGCAAAATTTAAATAGGTATATATAAATGACCTTGCCCAAAATTTAAATAGGTATAAAAATTATGCCCAAATCTGTTTAATGGGTATTAAGTTTTTGTCCAACCCCTCTCAACACTTGGGCGAGCTTTCGAGTTTGTTTGGGTAACCCGCCATTGAACAAGTCTAAACTCAACCACATACCTAATCATCTTGGAAGCATATCATTTACAATTATTGTAGTTCAATTAGTGAATTATAATTTAGCATCATATAGTGTCCAAAAAAGCTATGTAAATCTCACACCTTTAAGTGATAGACTCCTACATAATTTTTTTGTTATAATTGACTAATTACAAGATTGTAGTGGAGAGAATTGTATGTGAAATGCTTATGATAATCTCATTTAACAAAATCTAAAATATGTCTTAAAAAGTTTAAACCCTTATCAAAATGAAATGTTTTATTTTTATTTTTTAACTTTATTAACTTTTTCATCTATATTTTTTTCTTTCTTTTTTTTTCTTTTTTTTTTTCATTTTTAAAATTCTTCTTATACATTTTTTAATTTTCTTTTATTTTCTCTTTTATTCTTCTTTTGTCTTCTTTTTTTCTTTTTTTCTTTCTTTTTCACTATTAGGTTGATATATTATAAGATGCAAAATCTAGCCTTTACTATCACTAGTGTGACAATAGTAGCCACTTTAACCCAATGATGTTGTCATATGGCATTAACAACCTCTCTCTTTCTTTCTCTCTTGTGATTTTCTCTTCATTTACTCCTCACTTGTACTTTTACATCCAATATAGCTTGGCAAAAGAATTTAGTGAGATCATATTCCAATTCTCATTATCTAACAATATACATTATATTACTAATTTGCTTTTAAGGTGAAGAGAGAAGAATTAGGGAAGAGGCTAAAAACCATATTTTTTTTATTCATAAATTTCCTTTTTAATAATTTTGGTAAAAATCAAAAAGAAAATGTATAACACTAAATTGGCGCAAAAAATAAGTCAAATGGCTTTAAAACCTTGACAAGTACTATTAAAAATAAGAATAAAAAATACCATATTAGCACTTCTATTATAAACAAAAATAGATGAAGGATTAACAAAATATTTAGGAACGAAATTATTGTTACATTGTGCCACAAGATAAACAATAAAGATAAACTATTTTAAAATTTAATTTTAAAAATATACACAAAAAATTATATTTTAAATTTTTTTAAAAATTGAAATTTCTTTAAACTAAAAATTAAATAATTAATTTTTACTATATTTCATTTTAAATTCAAAATATTTGAATAGTTAAAAAGATAATTTTGTTATTAAAAAAAATTAATGAACATTCTGAGTATTTGATCGTCAAAAAATTACTCATGACAACCTTAAAAGTACCTATTGAGATATTATTAGTAAAGGTGGTAATTTGTTGAGTTGGGTCAAACTTGGATTGAGTCATTTTAGGATGAATCATTTCAAGTCGAAGAAAATTCGAATAATTTTGGGCTCTATTCATTTAAGGTTTGGGTTAAGTTATGCTCGGATAATTCAAGTTTGACATTTAAATTATTCTAAGTTTAAGTTAATTTCAAGTCCAAGTTATTGAGTTTTAAAGTTAAATCAACTTAACTTCATGTTAATCTTTCATATAATTTGAATTAGATCTTTTTAGGTTTAGGTTAATTTAGATTTAAATTATTTCGGATTTAAGTTACATGAATTTAATTATAGACTTTTCTTAATTAAGTTTGGTCCAGGTTCAAACGGATTAGACAAATTTTTCAATTTCATATTAGTTTTCATAGCTCTAATTATTGGGACCAAAATATTTGAGACCAAATCAACATGTGTTTAGCAAGAATTTTTCATCACAACTACATCAAAACAACTAAAGAAGTAACCAATGTGACTTAAGCTCAGTTTGCTAGTAAAGTGGGAATGGGCTTTTGAATTAAAATCTTTGTTTTACTCTTTCCTTAATGCCAGTTGCTAAAGGTGTAAAAATATAAGTGAGCAAACTATCGGTTTAGCTAATTCAATTGTAAATTTTCAAAAATTAATTTCACAGATTTAATATATATAAAAACTAAACCAACCAATTAAATGATTAAAAACTTATATAAATCGAACTGACTTACGTCGATCAGTTTAGTCAGTTTTTTCGATTTGCAAATGAGAACTTAGAAGACAAAATAAGAACCCAATTTAGTAAAAAAAGAGTGGAAATTTTTGGAAAATTGGTTTTTAATTCATACTAAGATTAGCAATGACTAAAATAATGAAAACATTAGTTCTAAAATTCAATTTAATTCCTTCTCATTTTCTCCACTTTCCTGACTACCAAATAGATTATTCTTGATGAAAAAATAAAAAAATTGCTTCCTGAACCCACAATTTCATATCTTACTCCTTGCTGGCATTGAAATTTTCAATGTAACACCAATCTAAATGCTAAAAAAGGAAAAACAACTCACTAAAATTGCTAAACTCGAACTAAAAAAAAAAAAATCCATTTTTTAGGTTGCTATTGAACTCATCCTTCGACTTTTCCCCGACCTTAAAATGGATTTTCTTTTCTTGTTAAGCTTCTCTTTTCTCGACCTTAACTCGTTGAGCCTTTGCCAAAACTAGGAGAGATTTGGGGTAGAGGAGTTAGGGATTTCAAGGATTTGATTTGGAGATAAGGGAACTAACAAAAGTGGTCAGGAAATCATCGAAAACAAGGTAGAAGGGGCCAATTTAGGGGAAGGGAGAGGCTGAATCACATGGTTTTCGGACTAAACTAGGTTAGTTCCAATCCGAAAAAGGGGATGAGGTACTCTGACAGTCAAACGATGTTGGGCAGTAGCTGAAGCGGGCCAAATTGGGTTGGGTACGGTGCTTGGGTGGTGGTCGGGAAGAGGAGAGTAAATGAAAATTAGGGAAGAAGGAGATAGAAGGGAAATAGTTATTTAAAATAAGATATCAATGAGGGTAAATATGTATTTTACAAAATATTTAATTATTAAAAGTTGGTTTTTTCTATTGGTTCGATTCATAAGATTTGAAATCACAAACCGTCGACTAAATCACCTAAACCGACTTTTAAATCTAAAAAAAATCAAACCAATTTATATAAATACTTAGTCTGTGATCGATTTTTTCAGTTTAAATCAACGAATGTTGTCCCCTATGAAAAAAAGTGGGGTTTCTAACATTATCGTTAAAAGCAGCTAAAGATGCGTCTTAACCTTTCAATTGAACTTTTTGATACATTGTCAAAATAAAATTTTGATTGCATGAGTTACACATATCCTTAAAAGTATATTTTAAAAAAATAAAAATTTAATTAAAAAAAAGATGTGTCATCTCTTAACTCTGTTTATATAATTAAAATTTTATATTGATAATATATTAAATATTAAATCATTTATTAAATTTATTTTTTTATTCTTATGCTCTAAGTTTTTATTATTTCATCCATATTGTTTAATATTTTAATTCATCACAAAATATTTTTACAATAATACCGAACCCTTAAATGTTATTGGTAAGTCACTAAAGTACACATGTAACTCTCTGTCAATTTGAGTGAATTTCTTCTTTCTCATCGTTTTGGGTTAGGAGTAATTCAACATGAAACCTACTCCTTGGGAAATATATTAAGGCCATAAACTTTACACATAGAAGACCCGATGTCAGGAAAAAAGGCGCGTTGAGTCTTTCTCACATGTGCACCCCTGTTGAAGCCAACTGTAACTTCATCTATTATAAAATATTAAACTTTTAATTATAATAATTAAGTTCATATCCTTAGGTTTAAATAAAAATAAAAGCATTAAATGCTTATTTGAATTTTATCACATCAAAAATATGATATAATTAAACTGATTAAACTATCAATTAAATTCGAATGTTAACTTCAATTAAATTCATTTAGTGTAAATTTTTCATTAAAAATTTTTTAATCGTAATTATAATAATAATTATTATTATTTTTAATCTTACCGCATTCAATCTTATCGTTTTTCCAAATAAAAGCTAAGAAAATAGAGCTAGAATGGGGAATGTGGCAAATAATGACACATGATCGACCCAGAGAACAAAGCAAGTTGTGTACTATTATATCTTTTCTGTCAAGAGAAAATGATATGGAACTGTGAAGGTATTCATGTCATCATTTGGTATTCATGTCATCATTTCTGTTAAAAGTAATGGGTACCCATAGATCACTGCAACATCTACAGTTGAGTGATTATGTATAATTTAGGTAACCAATTCCGCTCTAGAAAGGAATGAAAAAGGATGCATCACTTCCTCTCCTCAATACTCACAGGCAGGGGCTTAAATGCAGCCAAAACCACAGCAACTTTGCATACAAGAAATCCCATCATTCCAACCAGAAGTTCTTTCGGAGACAACACAATCGGAACATCTGCCATGCTATACTTGACTGCTAATGAAGAAAGTGCTATCGCCAGAGCAAGCCTTGATATTGGACCCCTAAATCTGACCATTCCATCTCCAGGATTCTTGGACATTAATTCTGAAGCTGGTAATCCATCAACAGACCTTTGCAATAGCAACAAATATAGAAAACCAGTGATCCCACCGAGTAAGAATGCAAAAGCAGAACTCTCCCCAATTGAGAAGGATGCAAATAATGTACCAACAAGTATAAGAACACTATCATAAAGTAACAAAGAGAACTTCAAATCCGCATATTCCTTCATACTTTTCTCATTAGTTATCCTGTCACTCAAGGGTGAAGTTGATTGAGAAAAGCCCTCGCTCAACATCACGAAGACATTTGGCCCAGATAACTCGGTAACGAGACAAGGTCTTAGTTCCACCATGGACTCGTCACCACCCTCTCCAAGCAAGATATCATCAACTTTGAAGTCATATTTAGCACCAACATATTCAAAATTTTCTCCATAATCTTCACCCAAGGAATATTGAGATGCATTAATGATGATCAGGTTGACACCTCCTAATCTCCATTGACCTGAGAAATTAGAAAGGAAGAGAAGCATTTAAAATTTTCAGTTGCATTTACTTTAAGCTACAAGTCACTGAACAGCTTGCTTGCACAAAGCAAGATCTTAAAACTAGCAACTGTTATTCAAGACTAACCTGATTCAACACCGATCCAAAGAGCTTGAACCTTCCCCAATTTTGCACCCTCAAAGATATATTGATCAACAGAACCTCTTTGGAAATAGAGAGTTTCAGGCTCCACCATGTTCTCTGATTCTGCAGAATGTTCAATTAACAAACATGCAGGTATCCTCTGTAATATTGAGTCACCTTTCTCATCTATCAAGCACAAGTGTATTCCAGCATTTACATTACTCAAACTTGAGCCATACATGTTACTTGTCCGCAACCTAACCTTGTAAAAAGACCGATCTCTGTTCAAGCCGGTAGATGAAAAGATCTTTTCTTCCAAGGTCTCTGTACAGACTTTCGGTTCTGTGGATGGCAAAAGACGTGAAGGTTTTGCAAAGCCCTGAAAATCTGGAGAAGATATCAGTACTACATCAAACTCTCTAATAAACCTCATCTTGGAATTTCTCTTCTTGTTGTGATATTCTAGGTGCAAAATACAATTGGAGGGACAAATGAAAATTTAAAAAGAAATGAAGCAGCTAATAAAAAGGGACACAGAAAAATAAAAAATTTTCTGCTTATAATTAGTCAACATATCAATCTGATTTTGCTCTGCATTTATGACCAAATATATATATTTTGGTCAGCAAGTAGTACAGCCTTCAGCACTACCAGATAAGAGTGAAAAAATGAAAAACCAAGATGAAATAACCACTCAAATTGGTGATGCAACATCTAAACATTAGCAGCACATGGTACATCGTAATGCAAAGATTTCTAGAGCCTCTGAGCAAAGCAAAGAATGGGGCAGGTATCTGAAAAGGAAATGCATGCATTGCTAGTAATCTATAAAAACTGTTAACCAATTGCATAAAATTCACAATATCTAATAATGTGATAGATTCTGAATTCTGAATTTGAAACATGTTTGTAAAATCTAGGATTTTTCAAGTAACTACTCTCATATTTTATCTCATTTCACATATTTCATAGTTTGCACTACCTTCTCTAGGGATTAACTACTTCTCAGTATGCATTTCATTCACCATGTTGTATTTTGAAACTTCAAGCAATATGTTTGGCCAGGTACATGCCTCTTTTTGTTACTTTGCCACACAAATTACAGTACCAGGCATTCTATGTTTCCTTTGTCAGCTAAATTTGCACATTGCTGTGTAGAACTAGGATCTACTCTTGAACCTTGAGAAGCCATCTCTATCCCTATATTTAATAGAGAATGAACACCTAGGGAGCAACCAATGAGCACAAACTAACTTTATTTTAACTATGGATAATTTGATATATCTGCAACACGGTCTAACTATGCATGTCATGGATTCAGAAATGAAAAGTCCCAGTTTATTCTGCATTATTTGCGTACACATGTGTACGGGAACATCTCAGTTGAATTTGAAGCTTTAACCATATTCCTTTGATTTCAGGACTACTCAATCAATAGAATACTTGACACTGGTCATTCCGGAGTTGAAGAATAAAAAGGTTAAACTAGGAAATTCTCAAACCCCATTGCTACAAAAAATAGTAAAGAGATTATCTATTTTCATCAAGTAACTCCCAAACATTGGCTCAATAATAGATGAATGTATCCTGCTCAAAGACCTGGGCTGAAATTCTAATTCTTCCCATATATAGTAGCATATTAATCAATATTCAGACATTTTAAACACGATATGAAAAAAGATATAAAAGAGACATGATTTAAAATTTTAACAAAAAACCACATGCGGGTTTCGCGAAAATAAAAAATATCACAACAAATTTTGTATTTTGCATCTTACACATGTTTGTAACATTTAGACTAAAAATGGAAGCCCTCTGTTTTATCAAAAGAACATGTATGGTCGTAGGTAGCCACAGAAGTCAGAACTTACAAGTCTTTTCTTTTGGTAGAGAGAAACTCTAATATTTATGAATTTGGCAAACAAAAAGAGAGAGAGAGAGAGAGAGAGCCATTTTCAGTCAAAATATGACTTAATTACATCCTGCCTGAACCTTCTTAGCAGTAATTACCTGATGGGATACCCATATAAGAAACCGGAAACAAAAAAGCAAGAAATTTAAAGTTCAATAAGACCATAAAACAGGGATTCAGAAAGAAAAGCTATTTAAGGGTTTTAATTTAATTAGTAAGAGAGCACCTTTAAAATCGGATTTCTTGGAAGAAGAGATGATGAAGCCAAAGCGAAAACGAGCAGTTTGCAAGTGAAACGTTCGTCCTGCTGGTTTAATTCTAAAGGGATGATGATCCCTTTGATTCGTTGCAAAGAATCCGTGACCAACGGAAACTGACTCCATTGCCACCGCCACACACCACGATTTTTGTCTCCTTCGCATCCTAATTCCTATCTACACAAATTATCTTAATCACTCTCAAACTCCAGGATGACGTATACTTTTGGATAATTTCTCCTCCAAAAAAAAAAAAAAAATCTCCCCTGCGAAATTATCAGATATCGACCCCATCAAATTGGATTAAAAACCCATTCTTTGTTTTTTTTTTTTATTATTTTGTGTATTTAATTTTTAATCTTTTACATGAACTAAATTTATCAAATTTTTTAGAGAATAAAGAACAATAAAAATTATTATATATGCCAAGAACAATAAAAATTACAAAAATAAAATTATTAATTTAAATTATATATTATATCATGCAATAACATAAAAATATTTTAAATATATATATATCAAATTATCAATTAAATTTGCCAATATATTTAAATTTTGTAGCTTATGAATAATTACATTTAATATATTTAATTTTTATAATTAACAAATATATGATTACATTAATATTAACATATATTAAAAAATAGAAAAACTAAAATTTATTTAAATAAAAAATTTACTCTCACAACTACATACAAATAAAAAGATTGTCAAAAACCATAGTACTTTAAAAAAAATTTCTTTTTTGGCCAAAATAATTATTTTTATCTTTTAATACTACTACTACTATTTATATTGTAATTTAATTTAGAATTACTCTTTCTATTATTAGTTCAATTAATTATTATTATTATTTATAAATATTGAAGAAAAAAAAAGTCCCAAAGCCAAGGAGATTGAATTATAGTTTAAATGAAAAAGTATACGTCTAGTTGAATTATTTTAGTTGAAAATCAGTTACTTACTAAAGTAATTTACACAAACTTTTAAAGTGGACAGATTTCCAAAGAAGACAGAATTTAAATAAAAGAAAAAAAAAAGGGTGAAATAGCTGGTGCCAGTTTGGCCTTAAGACGAGAAAGAGATGCCAAATATATTGTGAATCTGACGCCAAAGATATTGGCCAGAATTTTTGCGGAGATATATATATATATATATATTTTCTTGAAGTCTCTCAATTGAAAAAAAGAAAAACAGAAAAGGAAAATTTTCAAATAAGAACAATGGTAAAATATCGTTTTTGTTGTCGGTGACAACCAAAACCAATCAAACCACGTAAGAATCTTTTTCCTCCCTAATAGATGCCCATGAATCCTGAATTTCTGGTTTGCCCAAAACTCCACCAAACAATAAGGTTTCCATGTTGTTCTAAAAGCATCAGGAGCTGATCTCACCCAGTTTCTTCCTGCTTTTTGTTATCTGCAATCGCTTGTTTTATGTGACTCCAACTTCTACTGAAGAACCTATCTCTCAAAACTCTCTTGGAGGCTGAAAAGTCTCCCTGAAGCTGTCAAACCAATCATGATGCAAGTCGAAATCCAGTCAACGAACCAAGGAGCAGGTTTGGAGCATAGGTCGCCTGCAGCCATGAACCAAGAAAACCCATCTCATCTACTTCCCATCACCAACAACAACCCCAAAACACCAAAAAAATTGACCCTTATCCCTCTCATCTTTCTAATCTATTTTGAAGTTGCTGGCGGCCCCTTTGGCGAAGAACCCGCTGTTCGGGCTGCAGGCCCTCTCTTTGCTCTTCTGGGGTTCCTTCTGTTCCCTTTTATCTGGAGTGTCCCCGAAGCTCTCATCACTGCAGAGCTTTCTACTGCTTTTCCTGGTAATGGTGGCTTTGTTATTTGGGCTGATCGTGCTTTTGGTCCATTCTTTGGCTCCCTGATGGGATCTTGGAAATTCTTGAGTGGTGTCATTAACATCGCGGCTTTTCCAGTTCTGTGCGTAGACTATCTGAAGAAGATTATCCATCCTTTGGAGTCGGGCAGGCCTCGGCGCATTTCTATTTTGATTTCAACATTAGTATTATCTTTTGTAAACTATACTGGATTAACCATTGTTGGTTGGGCTGCTGTTTTGCTGGGTGTTGTTTCGCTTTTGCCTTTTATCATAATGTGTCTCATAGCAATCCCCAAGATCCATCCCCATAGATGGCTTAGTTTAGGCCAGAAAGGTGTGAAAAGGGACTGGAATCTGTTTTTCAATACCCTTTTCTGGAATTTGAACTTTTGGGACAATGTTAGTACTCTTGCTGGGGAAGTTGATAAACCCCAGAAGACGTTTCCTCGTGCTCTTCTTGTAGCAGTGATTTTCACTTGCGTAGCATACCTGGTTCCACTCTTTGCGGTCATTGGGGCTGTTTCCGTCGATCAAACTGCTTGGGAGTCCGGATTTCATGCTGTTGCTGCAGAGATGATTGCAGGGAAGTGGCTAAAATTCTGGATTGAAGTGGGTGCTGTGTTATCAGCAATTGGTTTATTTGAAGCTCAATTAAGCAGCAGTGCTTATCAACTCGAGGGTATGGCAAATTTAGCCATTTTGCCCAAGTTTTTTGGTACCAGATCCACATGGTTCAACACTCCTTGGGTGGGGATACTGCTTTCAACTTTGATCACAATTGGTATGTCATATATGGATTTTACAGATATCATATCATCAGCAAATTTCTTGTACAGTTTGGGAATGCTCCTGGAATTTGCATCTTTTATTTGGCTGAGGAGAAAATTGCCTGAGACAAAAAGACCTTACAGGGTTCCTCTGAGGATGCCAGGACTGGTAGTCATGTGCTTGATACCATCAGCATTCCTTATAGTTATTATGGTTATTGCCACTAAAATTGTGTACTTGATTAGTGGATTGATGACTATGGGCGCCATTGGATGGTACTTTCTGATGAATTTTTGCAGGAAAAAGAAGGTATTTAAGTATATCAGTGTTGAAGATGAAGAAAGATGATCAAGATACAACTCGCCGAGGCAAATGCAGGATGAAATTACACATCAAGTTTCTTCTTCTTCTTCTTTTTTTTTTTGTTATTATTATTAGCAGCCAACAGTCAATTTATTAATTTAAAGGGGCACATGTGGCTGGCTGAATATTTGGTTTAATGATGAATGCATGTATAATGGGACATTTGGCTTCGACTATGTGCGTGAATAGAGCCCACCTATAAATTAATCAGAAGTATGTACGAAAAATGAACTTGTTACGTGCCTATAAATGGAATCTTCCATGTTTTACCCATCTCAGTCTTTTGCTCTCTTTCGACCCACTCTTCTGGAGATTTTTGTTTCATTGAGAAGGAAAAGTTGGATTTTTTTTTACTAGGATTTCTTTAGCAACAATCTACAGCATCCGGACAGGAAGGTGGAATTTTCTAACTGAGGTTTGCCAAGTTCTAAGTTAAAATTATTAATTGAAAAATCCAAATCTACGAGTTGGTTTGATATGTAAACAATTAACTAAAATTTAGTATTTTCACAAAATTTAATTAGTAATAAATGAAAAAAGGCTAAATTATTAAAACAACTTTCTACTTTTTTCAAATCTCTTAGATAAGTCCGCAGCTTTTTATTTTACGTAATTAAGCTTTTAAAAAAAATTAGTTTTGTTTAATTAAATTCTTATTTTTTATGATAATCACTAAAATATGTTATTTTTATCATGTTGGTACTGTCTAACTAGTTGTTATTTTTACCAAATTAGAGACCTCCCAAAACATGAAAATTTATTATGAGTTGACGCTTAAAACCCATTTTACATTATGAAAATTCTGTTCATTTACACCTTTGATTATAAGTAGAGAATTAATGAAGTCTTTGACCAATAGCTTGGGTTGCATAAATCTATTAAAATTTTAGTATATCTAGAACAACATATATGATTGAATATTTACAAGTGCACAAATCATAACCAATAATATAGTAAAGATGGTTCCCATGAAAATTGAAATATATGTAATAGAACTAAATGTTGAAATATTCACCTTTAAGAATATCCAGAATATTATAATACAAATAACTAAATAACTATTTAAATTAACTAACTAAAGCACAACCTAACTAAGCACGTAAAATAAACTAACTCTGAACTTAACAACTTAAATTAAACAAAATAGAATATAAATTTACTTAGTAAACTTAAAAACATGTAATTAACCATAAACTAACATATAATAACCTTAAATCATGAATAACATAATGTAAATTAACTAATTAACCCCTAAATCATGCAAACTAGTCAAATTAAGATAAATTAAGCTAAAGAATAACAAGTTAACTTAGAATCAAGTCAAATTAATCAGTAGCATATAAATTGATTTTAACTTAGCAAAATTAAACATGTAAATACCAAATTAAAGAATAAGTAGTAGGTGAACTTAAATCACATGAATTCAAATGCATAATAGTGAAATAAAATTAAATAGAAAGTAAAAACATAAATTAAGAAAGTTTTGACTTGAATTGAAAAGAACAGAACTTGAATAAAAAAGAAAACTGAAATTGAACTTTGCATTAATTTAAAATAACTACTTAAAGAAAGTTTAAAACATGAAAAATAAAGAACAAGAAAACTAAAAAAACTAACAACTTTAGGTTGGGCTATCACCCCAAACCCTACTTGAATTTTCCTTTAAACAAAGGATAACTATTGATAGAACTAAACTACTAAAAAAAAAAAAGATCCCTTTAGAGAGATATGTAAAGAGGTGTGACGACTTTAACTTGGTCTTTTGAAGTAGTGTAATTCAACCTTGCTTGGTATCTTAGATGAAACGATCTCCTTGAGATAAATTTTTAATGTGCTAATCTAACTTGCTTTATTAAATCTATGTGGACTGAATCTTGGCTATATAAGTGTTGAATTGTCTTTAATCTTGCTAACTTGGATTTATCTTATATAACTCATCTCTCTTGAGTTGAAGAAGGGAGGTTTGACTACTTCTTTAAGAGAGTAGAAGTTGATTCTCTCTTAAACTTTCTTATGCAACTCTCAAAGTGCCAACATTGAGCTGCTTGCAACCTTTTTTTTAGAAAAGAGTTGTATGGCTTTAATCTTTTTAACAACTTAAAGGTTTTGAAAAGTTCAACTACATAATTTTCTTAAACTCTTCTTGAACTTTAAATCCCTTAAAATTGAAGAATGGTGTGTGGCTAAGGTTTTTCAAGAGAAAAGAATGTGTTATAATTACTTTTGAACTCTTGGCAACCATTTAGAAACAAATCTTTAACTTGAAGTAGGGTTTGTGCTTCTTGAAAATTTCTTGGAATTGGAGTAGGATTTCTTGAAGAAAATAAAACTCTAAGTAGTATTTTTCTCCTAGTATGCCATCCCCTCATTCTAATAGTTTTTTATCTTTATACAAATGCTATCCTTGGTAGGAATACCAATTCAAAATAGGATTTCCTAGTCAACTTTACGAAAACCAACTTTAAGTGGGATAATTAAGTGCATCTCCTAATCGTGGTAGGAATTCCAAGTCAATATGGGATTTTCAAGTCAAAGTAGGAAAACATTCTTGAAATAGGAAAATTAAGGGCTATTTAGACTTTTTCACATATGGATAAAATTTTCAAGTCATCATGTCACATAAGCTTACAAGTAATCTTTCTTGGCCAATGAGAAACGGACTTGCTACCATGTCATCCATTAGTAATTTCATGCAATGCGCACTACATAAGTTACAATGGATTTGCATTTCAACTTGAAATTACTTTTTTATCCCTTATAATGGTTGAACATCTCTTTTATAATTCTTGCATGAATTTTCTAAAAATTTCATTAAGATTAAACAATTATAACTCTCATTGTTCGTCAAAGCAAATCTTGCATAAATTCATCACTTTAACTCCAAGATTTTCAAAAATTCCAAAAATTCGAAAGTCTTTACCAATACCATCTTAGATTACTCCAAATGTATTAAGAACCTATCAAAATTGATCAAGAAACTCTAAGAGTTTTGAAGATTTACCGAGATTCAATCTTTTCTTTAAATATTTCTTATAAAATAGCAAATTAAACACTTTAAAAGTAAAAAAAAAAAAAAAAGCTTATTTTACCGATAACTAAGTAAAATTAACTCATTTAAGTCCTGAAAACAAGTTTAAACAACTCTATTTCATAGAATTATCAATATATATATATACACACACACAAAAATGTTCAAAGAGATAGGAAGAGAGAGAGAAAGAGAAAGAAAAGAGCTGTAAAAAATAAAAATCTAGGTGAAAGCAAAGGACTTTTTCTCTTTATTCTTTGAATATTTGAAAAGACTCTTATCAAATTGATGTACAAGACTAGTGACTAACAAAGATTGGTTTGTTGGTTAACACAAAAAAAAAAAAATCGAGAAAGCTGCTATCTAGAAATTTCTCTCAAAATAAGTCTTGTTACACCCATTTACTCAAATTAGCATAATCTTTTCTTGGTAAACATGGTCAACTCCTTGGAATGACTAGATAGTGCACACACAATTGCCACATCATCTTTACTCAAAGAATTAGCTCAGCCTCACCAAGGAAAAGGCTTCCCAACATTCCTATGATATCTTATCAATACATTACTTTAGAACTGAATACCTAACCACCAACTTACTCAAGGCCATTAAATGTAGCCCATATTTACTTGGGATCATTAAATACAATTCGTAATCACTCACATGGATTCTTTTGAGCTTCACGTATGCTTCCTATAAACTTTTAGCTGTTTCAGTTAAATCATTATCTTTTATCTCATATATAAAATAAAAAAGAGATTTAGATACGTAAAGTAAGATACAAGACCATACTTCACAGTTAAGCAATTTTTCTTCCATCATAATTTTCCACACACACCGCACCTTCTTCCTCATGTTACTTCCAATACCTCACTAACTTGAACATTGGAATGCATCATGAAAAATCAATTTCGGAACTCCTTAACCGTATTTCTGACTGCAGGTTCAGGCCATTCCACCTTCAACCTCCCAACATCTTCTACCAACTAAAACATTCCTAAAGCACCATCAACAAGTCTTATGTCAAGCAGTCCAGGTGATTATCGATGATTTGCTTCGATTCCTGCTTTATATTTCTCGATTGGTTATGAACTACAACAATACCCATATCTTCCTTTCCTTTGAAATCACTGTTTTTGCCCATCTTTTGCTCCATTTCTACTTTTGTCTTACAGACTTTTAACTAAATTTCACAGCCCCTATCTCTTTGTCTCCAAATCTGTATCTAAATGTGGATGGAGATATATAGAGAGAGAAGGGAGGAGAGGATACAGAAGGGGAGTCGTAGGATGGCAGGTAAGCTAGAACTTTTGTGAGAATAAGATTGCGTTTATTTAGTAAAAATTAAATTTTAAAAAATATTTTTATATTTTTTTATCAACAAACAATCATCTTAATTTTTTGAAAAGGGAACAAATATACAATGGAGATTGTGTTTGCATCATGTTGAAATTTTTTATTTAATTTTTTATGTTATTGGATTTTTATTTTCTCATGGTTAATTTGATTTGAGTGAGATTTAGTGAGCCCAGATTTTGATTTTGATTTCTTAATTTTAATCTTCATATAGCTTGTAATCCAGTGAATGAAGCACGCTCTGGTTTAATGATACTGGCAGTAATGTTGGTGGAAGAATTTTTTCATGTTTTTTTTTTTTTTTTTTTTTTTTTTCTGATTTTAGTTCAATAATTAAAAATACGATTTTGTTTTGTTTTCAGTCTTAACTTCAAATATAATATTTTGATTAAAATATTAAAAAGTATAAACTGTTTAATTTTTTAAAATAAATTTTTATATTTTTATTATATTTAAATAAATTTTTATATTTTGATTTATATTCAAATAAATTTTTATTATTCTAATGCTTTATATTAAAATTTTATTTTATTATAAATTAAAATTTTAAAAGTTTATTTATATGTAAATTGAAAGTTAAAAATTTATTTGAATGTAAATTAAATATTAAGAATTTATTTAAATATAATAAAAATATAAAAACTTATGAAATTAAAATTGTAAAGTTTAAAAATCTTTTATTATTTTAGTCTAATATTTTTCACTCTGTTTAAAAGCACGTATATACTGTTGTTACGAAATCTTGTTTTGAATTAATTAAAAAAATATTTAATTTTCAATTAAATCGAATTAAATATGATAATTTAATTGAAAAACATTTAAAAGTTAATATCAAATTAAACATTTAATTGAACAATTTTTAATAGTGCCAAATAAGCAAATAGAATTGAGTTTCGGGTGTGATCGAGCTACTCGAGCTCGCTCGATTAAGCTCGATTAATATGTAAAAATAAGCTCGATTTGTATACTCGACAAGAGTTCGATTATTCATTGCTCGAACTCGAACTCGAACTCGGATTCGAAATATTTTTTTAATTAAAAAAA